ATATATATATATATATATATATACACACTATTTATTATAACTTTATTTTATGCTATATGTATAGTATACTATTTTAGATAGAATTTCATATTTGTGTATTTATCTGAAATTTCATTTATAAATATAAATCACCGTACTTTGTACTTTTTTTCATAAATTAAAATATTCTATATGTAGTATTTATTATTTCATTGTTTTTTATTTTAAGTAAGATTTGATGATAACTTTAACATTTGCGTGTAAACTAAATTACAAATTATAATTACAAATATTATTATAACATAAATTACATACAAACCCATGTAATAATTATTACATATTTATACGACTAAATTAAAAAAAAACGTGATACTATTCAAATTTATAATAACAAATTAAAATCATCACCATATCCTGATTTTTACATTTGCACTTACATAAAGTCGATATGAGAAGCATGTATATTCAGATATCAAGAAATAACAATAATAATTAATTTTAGATATTAAAATCATCGGTTGGTTATATATCATGTCTACTGACAAAACATGCCTGAAGATGATACATGTAAATATTTTACTACTACATAAGCATAAAAATAGATACGTTTATGATTACAATATTATATAGTGAAAATTTTCCTACATAGAGAAAACCTAGAAATTTATTGTTACCGTATGTAAAAAATAAAGTTATTCCTTGCCTATTATACATATAATTGTTGTCTATTTTATACATCATTAAGTATTTTGAAATGTGACGGATATTTCCATTGCACAGGAATAATAGAATAATGATTGAGAGCAAAACCGGGAATCTGTAGTACGAAATTATAAAATAAATTTCTCTCTTTAATATTTATTTCTAAATTAGATTATATATAATGATAATGTGTGTTTTATTAATTTTTAGTGCTATTCAGATTTTATTAAATCAATGTGATAAAATGAATATAATTACGTCAGTGCGTCTATATATATATATATATAATATATATAATATATATGGTATATGTCAATTTTATTATCTTACTTTACTCTTTTGTTAGAAAAAGAAATGGTCCAATATGTTATCTTCGATGAACATAAAAATATTAAACCGAATAAGACACAGCAGTCTAAGTTGGATCACGGGTGCTTCTAAATAATTGTGTGTGAATTTATATACTACGAATATAATTCTTCGATTGCGCACCGAAAATTTTTAGAATTGAAACGCAACATTACGAATAAACTACCGTAGTAATATCACAAGCTAAATTGACTAACAATTTAACATTGTTGATGTTGTTTACGCATCTTATATCGATTTTACTAATGTTGCATAACTTATTAAAAATTGTAAATAATTAATTTTTCACTGCGAAAAATATTACCTCGGCTTGGATTCGAACCTGAATTTCTCGCATATTCTGTACGAGAAAAATATTAGAATAAATAGGATATATCAATTGCTAGAAAGAATTACCAGATCACTAAAAGCTTCCATACATTATAAAATAATAATTTTTTAGACATTGAAGTTTCATTATTGGAAACACAATTGTGAAGTATGAATTATAATATATTTATAGTCTAAATTCTGAATAATATTACATTTCTTCACGGTTATTGTAACAATTGATATATCCTTGAAAGAGACATTTGAAGATACGCATAATGCAATTTCATATTATCTTTCATATTATCTTTTTCCTTAGTACAATTTTTGTGGCTATAGAAAATCGTATTAAAAATGTAATAGTTATTTCGTAATAGTTTCCTAATAAACGCATATACGCAATAGAGCAATATATGCAACATAAAAAAGAACTTTCCAAGTGAATTAAGTGAATTTACTGCGATATGCGATGCAATATTTTTTATCTCATATTTTATTAGACCAGACATAAATGCTTTTTATAACTAGAACGTTTATAAAATTCTCTTGCAATATCAGCAACTGTAGTTCGGTATAACATTCTTAATATTTAATGTCGTGCAATCCGCAATTGTATGAAGGGCATGTGTGATGATCATTCCACATCATACTGTAGAAGGAACAAGATCTTCTTTATATTCTTTCCAAAATGGACATTACAAAATCTCAAGGATATAGAGGTACTAATTTCATGTGCTACGTTATTATTCGTGTTTAGTATGTATAGCAAATAAATTTGTATAAAGATAATTTTGTATTGTAAATTAATCCATTTTTGAAATACTTCGTTATCGTTAACTGTGTTTAGTATAAACATTTAATAATTTAAGTGTTAATTTTAGAACTGTTTTATTCCAATCGTTTATATCGTATAAATATAATCTATTAGATTTCATGTGGGCAGTTAATTTACATCGTATTGGATTTGAAATCGTGGGCTTGTGGCCTAAATGTACTAAAAAAAGTTTGTGGTCAGAAATTTGGATCGGCATCATTTTTATTTTATTAATATTTGTTTCTATTGTTCCAATGATGTATACAATTATACAAGTTTGGGGCGATATGGTATTTGTAATAAATAATTTACAAACAACGTTACCCTTCCTGGTGGCATCACTGAAGTACGCTATCATACAACGCAAACAAACAGGTATATTAAAAGTTATTTAAAATATAATGTTCAGCACTATATTCCATTGCTTTATTAAATCGTCTCATAAAAATAATAATTATTACAAATATATTTATAGATTAAAACAAGAAACCACAAATTATGTATGATTTACCTTTAAATATCGACATGGAAGTAAATTATAAAATATGTATACATAATTGTGTATAAACATATATAAAATACATTGTTCATTATACATATTATACATCCATCTTTTTCCAAATTATTTACTTCATATATATTTGTAAAATTACTTTTTAGTGTAATAAATACATAATATTATAAAAATATTTTTATTTTAATAATAAAATTTTGTTACAATAATAGGAAGTTTATCAAGGAAAGGAGGATGTATGGACATACATGGATATATTTCATCAAGTGGACAAAAAAGGAAGGCAGATATTTTTGAATAATTCGAAAAATTTAAATTTCATAGAAAAATATTTCAGATAAAAATTGTAAAATGTGAAAAGAGATAATGACATTATTAATTTGATCTTGGGTGGCGTCGTTAAAGTTAGATCAAAGTTATATGGATTTTTTTTTTTAAATAAAAGTCCTTATTTTTCATTGCATATTCTTATAACTTATCTTGAAAGCTTTTCAAAATACTCAATATATTTTTTTCGTTAAGTACTTTTCGAGTATTTATGATGCTTTAAAGTTAAAATACGACCAACGTTAGCGTTATCAAGGTGTCCGACTGATGGTTAAAACACTTGAGACCCGATTTTTCATTATCTGGTTAACTTGTGGGTAAATTTAACCTAATAAAATAAGAAGAATATACAGGGTATCTCGCGAGACTTCTCCAATCTCGCACAAGAAGATAGATAAGATTGAAGTTTCCGCCCATTTTTTCAAACATTGCATTGGCAACGCGTTAGAGACAAATGGAGAAGCGCGTCGTTGCTCAGTTCCCGGCGCTTCCCCTCTTGCCTCTCTAACGCGCTGGCATCGCAGCCTATATTTGAAAAAATGAGCTGGACTATACCTCAAGCGGCCGGAACGTTACTCAAAACGCGCTCTCATTAATACAATTTCAAAAATTAATATCTGTATTAATATTGCGAGAATCGCTATACAGCTATAGGACTTTTGCATTTACTTCAATCTTATCTATCTTCTTGTGCGAGATTGGAGAATTTTTCTCAAAACGCTCATTAGTACAATTTCAAAAATTAATATCTATATTAATATTGCAAAAATCACTAAACAGTATAGGACTTCTGTATTTATTTTGATCCTATCTACCTTTCTGTGAGAGATTGGAGAAGTCTCGCGAGACACCCTGTATATAATCTCTAATAGCTTCGATCTTAACAAATGATATCCAGGGCAGACTCTTAAACAATATTCAAGAGGTTTCAGCCGTCGCTTGAATATTGAGTAACGCTAACGTGATACCTGAAATTTCAAACCTTATAAATACTCTAAAAGTATTTAATAAAAAAATATTTTTAATGTTTTTTTGAAGACCTTTCAATATAAAAATATATACAATAAATAAAATTAGAATTTCCATTTAAAAAAATCAATGTAACCTTGAATTGACCTTGACGACGTCACACAAGGTCAAACTAAAAATATCGTTAAGGTGATACTAGACCCGTCTGTATTATCGATAAAATTAAACAGGAACGAAAACGTTAAAAACGCTAGTTTTATCCATAATACAGGCGACTCCAGCATTCCCTTAAGTAGATACTTTTATACCGTACAACTTTTCTCTGAAACATTTTTCTATATTCTATAAAACTCATATTTTTTTAATTATTAAAAAATATCGATCTTTTTCTTACATTCGATACATT